AGCCCAGGCTGGCCTCGAACTCACAGAGATCCGCCTGGCTCTGCCTCCCGAGTGCTGGGATTAAAGGCGTGCGCCACCACCGCCCGGCTAGGGATTTTTTTTTATGTATTTATTATTAGATTCTCAAAACAGCCAGACTTGGTGGTACATGCCTTTAATCTCAACACTCAGGGACTAGAGGCAGAGGGATCTCTGTGAATTCCAGCCAGCCTGTTCTATATAGGGCATTCTAGGATAGGGCAACAGAGCTGACTTGAGAAGTCTCCTTTAACAGCAATTCTCCACTACATTCCCACTGACATCTGGTATGGTCTCCATTTTAAGGGCACATCAATTCCCAGGGGAGAATTTAAAAGCCAATCCTCTTGACAAAGAGATAACTTTCACTGCACTGGACCACTGTGGCAGTCTAATAAAATTAGTCTTAGAATAAAAATTTTAAATCCTTAAATTAAAATTTCAAAAGATTACAAAGGAATTCCAACACATTGATAAAATATTTAAAATTGTATAAAACAGTAACTAAGATCTAGTTATAAGATTAATAAACACTCCCAATTTAATGCTGATGAGCATAAACATTTCAAATGATATCCAAGTACTACAATGCAATATGGCAAGATGAACTTTGCCTTTTATTACAGAACTCTTCATAACTGGCAAATAGACTCATAAAGATACAAACATGAATGACAAAGATGTCTCTTCCTGGTTGAAGGCTCCAGGCTACAGAGGTCCAGAAAGAAAGAGCCCTGTAATAGACATAGTCAGGTCAAATGCAGCTGTTTCCCAACACTATGAAAAAATGATCTGGAGCCTGGTGGTAGTAGTGCATGCCTTTAATCTCATTACTTGGAAGGCAGAGGCAAGCAGATCTCTGAGTTCTAGGCCAGCCTGGTCTACAAAATGAGTTCCAGGACAGCCAGGACTGTCACACAGAGAAATCCTGTCTCAAAAAAACAAAACAAAAAAAAGATTAAGAAAGAAGAAAAATTAATTCAGGACCAGCAGGATGGTTCAGCAGATAAAAAGGCTGTCACACAAACCTGACAACCTTAGTTTTATCCCTGAAACCCATATAAATAAGCTGGATGCAGTGGCATGCATCTGTAAGTAATACCAGCATTTGTATACCAAGACAAGAGACAGAAACACAAGAATCACCTGAAAGCTAATGGGCCACCTAGCCAGGACTACATGATGTGGCAGAAACCAGAGAGATAATGCCTCAAAAAAGTAGAAGGAACTGACTCCTGAAAGTTGTCTTCTGACCTCAATACATGCACCATGACATGGACACACGCATACTCACACTCTCATCATACACACACTATAAAAAAGACTTATATATTACAGACCCCAGTCCACACGCAGCTTTACTACAACAATCAGAAGTTGGAATGCATTTTTAACATTTATAAAGATGTGCCAGGCATCTTTATAGCTGTACACATCTGTAATCCCAGTACTTAGGAAAGTGACTCAGAAGTATCACAAGTTTGAGGTTTGTCTGGTGTACAAAGTGAGTTCTAGGCAAGCTAGCCATACATACATAGTGAGAAACTATCACCTAAAACAAGCAAATATATCTGTGAAAATGGGCAGATTTTTTTTCAAGGGGCACAGTGGTACGTTGACACAGGAAGATCACTGTTTGAAACTGTTCTGGGTTACACAGTAAGACTATCTCAGAACAAATAAAATTAATTTTGAAGATGAAGTTAGGGATATTGTTCAATTGGCAGAGTGCTTGCTAGCATACATGAAGCCTAGGGTTCCATCCACAGCAGGACCTAACACCGGACATGGTAGCACACTGCTGAAAATCCAACAGGAGACTCAGAAGTAAAGGTCATCCTCAGTTACACAGCAAGTCTGAAGCCATCCTTTGATACAGGAAACCCTGCCTCAAACAAAAAGGTAAACTTAAAAACAGCTTGGTTACATGAAAATAAAGAAATAGGTAGTGTTTCAAACAACTAAATCATGGCCCTACTGCAGCTGGGGTCTGGGTTGATGTCCATGGTCCAAGTTCCCACCAAAGGCCATGCGGATGTTGGAGTCTGTGTTGTCACTGGTGTGAGTGGCCTGCACTGCCACCTGAGGCCATGGTGATACAGGGCCTTGCTGGCACCAAAGGCCGTGTCTGGGTCAGAGGTCCTATTGTAGCCAGGGTTTATGTTGATGCCTGTGGTCCAAGGTACCACCAAAGGTCATGCAGATGTCCATGGTGGACACTGCTGCCTGAAGCCATGTAGATGTCCATAGGTCATGCAGCCGCCAGGGGCCATACTGATCTGAGTGGCATGAGCTGCCACCTGAGGCCATGTCTGGGTCTGTGGTCCTACTGCAGCCAAGGGTCTCTATTGATGTCCACAGCCTATGTTACGGCCAAAGGCCATGTGAATGTGTACGGTCTGTGTTGCAGCCAGAAGCCATGTAGATATCTGCAGGCTGTGCTGTCACTGGGAGCCACACTGATGTGGGTAGCCTGTGCTGCCACCGGAGGCCATGTTGATGTCTATGGTCCAGGAAGCCTATGAGGGCCATGTCTGGGTCTATGGACATACAACAGCAGAGGGCCATGTTCTTGGTCTGTGCTGTCGTCAGAAACAGAGTGGAGGGCCATGATCCATGCTTCCCGCTGATTATGAAGAGCAGGGAGACTACTTCTGCCATGATATCGATGACTGCAGATGCACAGTTAAGGAGAGACTATGGAAGGCCTCTACAACAAACCCTATTCCCAGCCCAACCCCACCCCACCCCCCCAAAAAGAAGAAAAAGAAAAAGTTACAGCCTAGACAGGAAGCCATGGAAGAGCACTCTTCAAGTGTGGTGGAGATGCTGAAGAGTAACTCTCCACAATTGATAGCTTTCTGGTGTAGGTGTGGGAGAGGAAGGACTCAGTTCTATTTAAGAGGCAGGCCACTAAGAATTTGACCATGTTCCAGCAAATATATAGATAGCACAGAGGACTTTCTTTCTTTTTTTTAAACTTCTTTTGGGAAAGACTTTGAAGGGATTATGATTAGGGTGCATGACGTGAAACTCCCAAAGAATCAGTAAAAATGTTATGTGGAAAAAACATTGAAAACTCCGCTTACAAATGTTTGTGATAAGAGGCCTCATCTTCCCTCATCTTAGGTAAGGCTTCTGTAAGGTGCCCTTCAGTGGTAAACTGTGTGCCTTCACTGTGGAAGACAACACCGTTCATGCTGCTCCACTCCAAAGCCCCCAACTGCTGTCCCTCTGAAGGACATTCATCCACTGGGTCCCTGACATCAAGGACCTTCCAACCCTCCCACGACTATGTAATGAAATGACAAATGTCCTGACTGCTTTCCCGTTTTGCTACCTCACTAAACTATGATAGTTACACTTTTCCCCCTTTGAACTAAAAACAAAATAGAATTTTCTTTTTATTTATTTATTTTGGGTTTTTCAAGACAGTGTTTCTCTGTGAAACAGCTCTGGCTGTCCTGGAACTAGCTCTGTAGAGCAAGCTAGCCTTGAACTCACAGAGATCCACCTGCCTCTCCTTGGGATTAAAGGCATGTGTTTTCAAGTTTTTTAAGTTTGTGTTTCTAACAATACTATCAGAAGTCAAATCCAACTCTTTCGTGGTGTGGTAGTTTAAAAGACAAGTTTACTACAAGTTTAAAAGGCAGTTTAAAATGGCCCCCAAAGGGAGTAGTACTATTAGGAGACATGGCCTTGTTGGAGTAGGTGTGCTCTTGTTACAGGAAGTGTGTCACTGTGGAGGCGGGCTCTGAGGTCTCATCTATACCCAAGTCATGCCCAGTGAGACAGTCTACTAACTAGACAGTCTAGTTGCCTGAATATCGACATGTAGCGGCTACCTCTCCAACACTATGTCTGCCTGCACACTGCTATGTCCTGCCATGATGATAACGGACTGAATCTCTAAACTGTAAACGAGTCACCACAATTAAATGTTTTCTTTTTAAGTTGCCATGGTCATGGTGTCTCTTTACAACAAGAGAAACCCTAACTAAGACAGGTGGACAGAGGACATATAACTGAAAGAACATCGTGCATGATCCTGGAACACAGGAACCGTTGGCAAAGTCACTTTCTGATCATCTGAGCTTCAGCTTTAATGTCACAGCTCACGTGCTTACTCTATTTCAGTCTAATTGATTTCGTACTGAGGTATGTTTTCAAATACTAAAACTGAGTGCAATTTTAAAGGAAATTTGCTGAGTCCCGCTAATAATTCAGAAATCAAAATTATTATTTTTAAGTGTTTAACAGAAGTTAAATTATTAACACAAACGTTACAATATTCAGTGTCTATGGTACATAGGAAGTCTTAGTACTACTTCTTAAAATTTCACATCATTCTAAAATAATTAAAAATTTAAAAGTTTTCTTTAAGAAATGCTTGGCTGGGCATGGTGGTGCACACTTTTTTTTTTTTTTTAAAGATTTATTTAATATGTATACAGTGTTCTGTCTGCATATATGCCTGTAGGCCAGAAGAGGGCACCAGACCTCATTATAGATGGTTATGAACTACCATGTAGTTGCTAGGAATTGAACTCAGGACTTCTGGAAGAACAGCCAACGCTCTTAACCACTGAGCCATCTCTCCAGCCTGGTGGTGCACACCTGTAATCCCAGCACTTGGGAGGTAGAGACAGGCTGATCTCTGAGTTCAAGGGTAGCCTGGTCTACAAATTAGTTCCAGGACAGCCAGAGTTACAAAGAAAAACCCTGTCTCAAATAAAGCAATAAATTAAAAAAATTAAAGCTAACAAAAACCTGAAGGACTATTAAGAAAAAGCAATTGTAAACTACCTCTCAAGCCAGGTGAGACTGTGTATACCTAGTAATCTTAGCACTTTCCAAGTAGAGACAGAAGCATCTCGTGTTCAAGCTTATCCTTAGCTACAATCATCTCAGCACCAGCCTGTGATACATGAGACCCTGTCTCAAAAAAAAAAAAAAAAAAAAAAAAACAACCCTGAGTTCTCACACTGTAACAGTGCTGTGGTTCACTTAAAACATATCTGAAGGTTTTTCTCAATTTTGTTTTGAGACAAAGTCTCACTGTGAAGCACCGACTGGCTTGGAACCTGCCATGTAAACCAGCTGGCCTCAAACTCAAAAGATCTGCCACCTCTGTCTTCCCTGTGCTGAGATTAAAGGTATCTGCCAACCGTCCCCAGATGTTTTGTGTTTTTAGGACAATTACTCTAGCTAAGCACACATACTCAGGAGGCATATGCAAGAGGGTCACCGCAAGTCCGAGGATAGCACGGCCTCCTTAATGAACTGCAGGCTACTCTGGGATACACAGTGAAAAGAGCCTGACTTACACTACAAGTACAAGAAAAAAGAAGATTGCAGACTGTCTTTGAGAAAGCCCATACGGAACAGAAACAGTCTACTACACAGGTCAACCCCTCCTTGGCGTACCTCAGAATTGTCCATGGCTGTTTTCAGTATGTTGGAGTGTGCATTGACAGCCTGAACTGCAGCATTCTGGGCTGTAATAGCCTGCAGAGTGACGGATGCAGTCTGGCTCAGAGCATCTTCTAAACTCTTGGCTAGAGCTGAAAAAAGAAAGAACAGCTAAAAACAAATCCTCCTTACAACAGACTAAATTTTTCCTATTTTCCTAAAAGTCTTCTGGTGCAATTAGTTCTCATAAGAACATAAAACAAAGTAAGTTACACACAGGACCCAATCTTAGAAAAGCGTAATTCTCTTTAAAGTACAGGGGCTGTGAGTGGGACCGTAGCTAGAGAAATGGCTCAGAGCACTGGTGCTTTTGCAGAGGACCAGGCTTTGGTTCCATTACTCACACAGCAGCAGCTCAAAACTGCCTCTAACTCTACTTCCATGGTCTTCAACATCTGCTTCAGGCCTCCACAGGCACCAGGTACATACATGGTATACATACATACATACATACATGCAAGCAAGCACTCACACAGATTAAAAAAACTACCAATAAATCTTTAAAAAGAATTAAGTATGGATGGCAGATTTGTCAGATTTTACTATATTAGTTCCACTTGTATAAAGTCTGAGTTTTCTAAAATAAAAGGTGTTTTAGCGGGAAAATATCTTAGAAAGGCTAACTTAATCAAATGGAGAAAGGTTTAGAACATTCTGAAGGGAATACATACATGTAGCATAATCATTAACTATTTCATTTTATAAAAATTGCACAGACTCACCAGGAGAATACAGATACCTATTTTCAACTTCTCAGAAGGAGGAAAACCCATAGCAAACTCACATGTGTAGGATACAAGAAGATACTAGACAAGGTACAAACAAGAAAACATGCCAACAAAAAAGTAAAAGAAAAGCTATGTGTGGTGGCGCTTGCCTGTAATCCCAGCACTGGGGAGACAGCAGCAGGAGGATCACCACACATTATACAACAAAAGCTTATCTCAAGCAAGGCCAATGAGATGGTTCAGCAGGTAAAGGTGCTAGTTGTTGAGTGCAATCCCTGATCGCCACATATACAGGCCATGGTTCTTGTGCTCCCACACACATACAAACATATATACAATCAATCAATCAATGAGATTTTTAAAGCAGGCCCTGTCTAAAACAAAGAAACAAAATTAAACAAACAAACAACAACAAAAACCAAAGGGAGACTTGGAATGGACAGTTTCCCCAAAAAGCACACAAGAAATAAACACCAACATTAAAGGCTGTCTCCTCTCTCTCTCTTCTTCCCCCCACTTTAACCTTTTATTTATTCTGTGAGTATCTGGAGGAGACAGTGTGTGCACATGTACACAGATAAGTGAAGAAAGGCAATGGTGAGAAAATACCAAGAAACTGAGATCAAACTGCAGCTTAATCTAAAGAGCAAGGTATCCAGAAAGCAAACAGGAAGCGAGGAAAAATATGGCACTTGGATCTTGGGACAGGCTTTGTTAATGGTGGGCATCCAAGGCCAGGCAACAGTGAACCATACAAAACCAGGCTGTAGGCAGGTCACCCGCAACACTACCGTCTTTAGACGTCTAGCTACTATGCTTTAATCCCTATTTTTTAAAAAGTGCACAGGCATACGTAGTTCTAAGGTTTAAAGGAAAAATTAAGAGGCAAAGCCATGATGCTAAATTTTTTCAGTTTGTCTAAACCAAACCATGAGAATTTAGACCCACCCCGAAAAGAACAGCCAAAGCAGCAGACTCCGCTTCTCTGATGTATAACTTAAATCAAAGTGCTCATATGACAAAGGAACAGAAAGAAAAGTGAGGAGAAAATCCGAATTTAGCAGGTATGTAATCTTATACCTCGGAAGACTGAGGCAGAAGAACTGTGAGTTGGTCAAGGCCACCCTGGGCTAGACAATAAGTCAAAACCAGTCTGAGCTACTCATGGACAAAAGCATCAGAGAGACAGATGAGAAACATATGACCATTATGGGAAAAATGGGAAACACAAAACCGCTTCACTCCTTTACCTGACATTCTCAAATATCTGTAACGAGACCAGGCATGGAAGAGCACACAGAATAAAAACAGCCACAGAACCACTCAAGGCCGGGGCTTACGCAGATGCCCTACACCTAGGGCTCCTTCTTCTCCATTCTCACAATGGCAGCGCCTCAGAACAGGGTAGAGCCAACAAGGTGTCAAGGAAAGAGCCAGGGGCAGCAGCAGGAAAAACAAGTGATGTCACCAGAGAGAAAATTCACAACAGCTGCTGGAGAATTTGAAAGTAACTTTCTGTTCAGCAAAAACCCCCTTACACCCCATTATTCCTGAAGTCACTAATACACAGCGGTACAGTGCCGTAAGTGACAGCCTACACTTCCTGTAAAAGGGCATCTAGTACCATTTTTTAACTATCAAAAATCATAATGGGGGCTAGGGAGATGGCCCAGTGGGTAAAATGCTTGCTGCTCAAGCATGAAGACCTGAGTTCAGATCCTCACCAACTACATAAAAGCTGGGCATTGCATCAAGTGCATCTGTAACCACAGTGCTGGGGTGGACAGTCAGGCGGACCCCAGGGGGACCACGGGCCAGTCAGTCTAACCCAGTGGTTCTCAACATTCCCAATGCTGCAACCCCTTAATACTGTTCCTCATGTTGTGGTGACCACCCCCAACTATAACATTTTTTTTTGTTGCTACTTCATAACTATAATTTTGCTACTGTTATGAATCATAATGTAAATATATGATACACAGATGGCCTCAGGGTGACCAAAAGGGGTCATAGGATGAGAACAGCAGTCTAGCTGAAACAGCAAGATGAAGGTTCAGTGATAGATTTTGGCTCAAAAATTAGGTGGAGAGTTATACAGGAAAATATCTGAAGTCAACCTCTGGGCTGTAGATACTCATGTACAGATGAGCACACACACACACACACACACACACACACACACACACACACACACAATAATACAGAACTGAAACTTTAGAGGAAATACACATATTTTGCTAAAGACTAGCAACATGCAGAACACCCTCTTTCCTAAGATTGCCAACAGTGAGTCCGGAGTAGAGGTATTATAGGCTGCAGTGTGATCCACTGAGGCTCACACTCATAAGCATACAAGCTTTTTTTTTTTTTTTTTTTTTTCTGAGACAGGGTTTCTCTGTGTAGCCTTGGCTGTCCTGGAATACGCTGTGTAGACCAGGCTGTCCTTGAACTCACAGAGATCCGCTTACCACTGCCTCCTGAGTGCTGGGATTAAAGGCGTGTGCCACCACCACTTGGTTAAGCATAACAAGCTTTAAAGGTTGAAATAACCCAGTTCTGTTTCCTGGAGTTACACGAATGCGTTGTACTAGAAATGATAAAATGGATTTGGAATGTTCACCAGTAATACCTCACGTCACCTAGATCAAGGCAATTTCAATGGGAAGAGCACAGATGATGAGATGATGGTGGGGAACTAGGCAATGACACAAAGACACAAAGGAACCCAGCCAGCTACTGGATGACAGACAAGCTGTGCTGATGGATGAAGAGAGCACTGAGAGCGACTGGATTTACATACACTGCATCTCAACTTGTTCTTGCTCTTCCTGCCTCGCTAGACGAGCTGCAACTTCTTCAGGTGGTCGCTCCCTTACAGAAGATGAGAATGCTTCCTCTTGCAGCAAAAGTGAACAAGAGGAGAGCAAATTTCAACAGATTTTTAACAGCTAACAGGGATCCACAGTGATGGCAACGCGGGGTATGAGGTCCCTAAAGCATCACCCTCTTTCGATTCCAAAGGAAGTGAGGCAACTACTTCACCATATTTTCAAAGATTACCTTAGACTCTGGAGTTTCAATCTTTCCTAGACAAGTCTGAAGACTGGAAACCAGTCTAGGTACACATTTCCAAAGTGTCTAAGGGCCAAGGCAAGGCAGTTCTGATGAGAAAACAGCATAACACATGAATAATGAAACTACCTGAGGTTACAGATGCGGGTTTTCCTTCACCAGTGTCGGGACGGTCGGTTTTTATAGCGTCTTCATGCTGAACCACAGGGGCTGGGACCGAAAGTGTATCACCTGCTGCAGAAATAATGTGAGCTGCCCCTGTAGATGCTATAAATACATGTTATGTCCTTAACCCGTAGGCCAGGAGCTGCTGCTGCAGAGCACTTCATGTTGTACTCCTTAAAAGTACAGACACTTCCACTGCCCTGTGTTTGAGTAAGCACAGAACCACAGAAAACTGAAAGGTTGAGAAGGCACAAGACTAAGTCTTCTCAGCACCTGCAGACACTTTAATCCCTCTTACCTCAGGAAAGCCTTCTAGTGACCGTGCTAAATCTAAGCACAGAAGTGGACATCAGAGTAACACATCAAAAAGGAACACAAAAGAAAAAGCTGTCTGTGGCAGAGGAGCAGAGAAAAGAAAGCAATTCAGGAGAGGGTCTCTAAGCGTCCTGAAGAACAGCAGAGATAAAGGAAGACATGAAGGATGTGGAACAAGATGACAGTTTTGAACATAGGGAAGACTATGTTCACAGTGAAGACAGTATGTGAAGAAAAGAACTCATAAAAAAAATCACTTCAGAAAAGAAAGATTCATTTATAAACAAAAATGTTGATGGAAGAGAAAAACAATTATAGAGATGACATGGGTAGGAAACCAGTAAAATGAGACAAATTTTGTTTTAAAACTTGAAGGCCTCATTCAAAAGATAAACCTGTATTATTAACAAAATCTACTCACTGGTCTCCCTGTTTCTGCCATGGCTTACTTATCTATATACCATACTGTTTTGAGGCAGTCTCATGTAGCCCAGGCTACCCTTGAAATCACTATGTAGTTGAGGCTAGTCTTGGCTTGTTAATAATCTTCCTGCCTCTGCCTCCCAAGTGCTAGGATTACAGGCATGTGCCACCACTTCTAGACAAATAATAATAAAAATAAATGCAGGCATTAATTCCCTGGCTCAGCACCTCCAACGTCTCCCCACTCTACTCCAAAGAGAAAACAAAACTCTTACAATGGCTCCCAAGGCCTCCCTTCTGCTCCCGTGGTGGATCTGCCACTGTTCTCTACTAACTCCACTTCAGCGTCATTTGTTCCCTGCCCCAACATGGCAAGCCTTGGCACTGGCTCTCCTGTGGCCTGGGACACTTTACCACAGCAGCTATCTGTGCGGTTTTCTCACTCCCTTCTATCTTTCTAGTTTTTGCTCAGGTGAGGTTTTCTGATTTATGCTCTTAAAATTACAAGTACCCTTTCCAGCATGGCTTACAATGTACTGTACTTGTTTATCTGTAGATGAACTTTCTCCTCTTGTCCCATCAAGGAATATTAGCACATTGTTTTTTATTTTAAAGTGTGTGTTCACTGGTAAGTCCCCAGCTTTTATAACACACTCAAGGGGTATTTGTTTAATCAGAGTCCAGTGATTTATCAAGTCAGGAGTAACTGCAGAAAAACAGAAGAAGGCGGCGGTTCAGGAAGGTTCAACCATTCAGAGCAGCACTGGCTGCTCCTCCAGAACACCTGAGTTCGATTCCCAGCACCACATGTGGCTCCAGTTTAAGGGGATCCAATGCCCTCTTCTGGATTCTGTGGGCACTGCACACACATAGTACACAGACATAAATGCAGACTAAACACCCAGATGAATAAAATAATAAAAACTTAAAATAAAGAAAAAAAATCACAGGAAGTCCAAGTGTATGGTGAGCAGAGGTGTTTTAGACAGGTGCTATATACTAGGGTAGAATACTGGCTAATCCTAAAAGTGAAAAAGGCATATATATGCAAGACACATTTATCACCAAGACAGAGAAAACAATTATAGAGATGAGACTTGTGAAGAGGAGGGAAAGAGTGAGAAGGGAGAACACTCTGAAAGTATACACAGGGGAAAGGCTGGGTGTCAAACAAAGGAAAAGAGAATTCAAGTGAACTGCTGTCACCCAGTTCAATACTGCGTGCACTCAAGCGCTGAAATTCCCGGGGTAGGACAGGTGAACTACGGACCCGAGAGTCCTTCACAGCACAGGAAGGACCATCCTCCAACTGCAGGGACAGACACACTCAGACAATGCCTCCCATTATACCTGCCAAAGAGTGGCTCTCACAAGTACCTGCTGAAGCTGGAGTGTCTCCCTTCTGCTTCTGGGTTTGTGCCACGGGCAGTCTGGATTCTTTCATCACCTCTGATACGCTGGAGATTTTTAGTGGACCAGACTGAATCTTGAAAAGGAAAATGTTTAATATTTAGGATATAATATTGTCTTTAAAAGGGAAATATAGTAATATTCTTTTTTAAAGGTCAGGATATCAACGTTTTGCAATATACTCATAGAAAAAAGCCATTATTACTACAAAAATGCATTCCAAAACTTAATTCCAATGGATTAGCCCATGTACTAGCAATACCAAAGTCTTCTTCTATGATAATAAGCATATGATACAGGACATCCCCCTTTTACATATTCAGCACTGAGATGCCATCTATGTCCACCTATGTGCACATAAAATGATGGCTCTCTCTATGCAGTCAGTCAGGCACAAATGAGGATGAGAAGCCTGGAGCAAGAACGAACACTCGTTTGCTGTTTCTCTGACTGCCAGAATCCATGCAATCACACGTGAAGACACACGGTTGATTTGTAAGCAGTAACTGCTTTCCTTTCCCAATTACAGCCAGGCTGACTTAACACACTGTTCATTAATGGAACTGCCAGGTTTGCTAGGGAAAATAAGAATAAAAACGCTCTTGTTCACCAATCTCGTCCCATTTTGGTTTTTGGCCAGAGCAGGCAGTGAGTGACACAGTCCTAAGATGACTACTTAACAGAAATGCTTTACGACTTTTGTCCCAGAAACTAGCAAGATGTCCATTTTCTTTATATTAGACTGTGTCTGTGCCTCACGTGTGCTTGGTAGCCAGGGAAGCCAGAGAGGGCATCAGAGCCCCTGGAACTGGGGTTACAGAGGGCTAGAAGCCATCACACGGGTGCTGGGAATCAAACCCTGCTCCTCTGGAGGAGCCGCCAGTGCTCCTAACCTCCGGGCCATCTCTCCAGCCCCGGCCTGTTTTAACTCCTGAGACAGGGTTTGACTAGCTCAGGTTGGCCTCTCCACTCTGTCCATGGTAGCCTTCTGAACACTGGAACTGCAGATATGATCCACCTCACCGTTCCTTTTGGAACTGTGAAACACGTGCTCACTCTAACAAGCACACACCAAAACCATCAGTGGTCGCACTGGGCTCTTCACTACCCTTTTCCCTTCCAGGTCTCAGGCCATCACTGGGAAAATCTAAAATCTATCCTTCCACCCCAACAATAAGCTGAGGAAGATACACAATATTCCACTTATTTAAAACAAAACAGTTACACTGTACAAATTAACATGCAACCTGTTGCAGGTTCTTTTTTTTTTTTTAACACAGAATATAGTAGACAGTGTCTTCTAAGTCAAGAATTGCTCTTTAGTTACACTGATATTTCATAATTTGGCACATTAATCCACTTTTAAATTTAACTACTCTTCTATAACAATGAAATTAATAGCTTGGGAAGGGCCTTGGTTTGTTCTCCCTTTTTCTTGTTAGGAATCAAACCCAGAAGCTCATGGATGCTGAGAAAGCAAGCTCCATTGCCAGGCCAGGGTTATATATATTTTTAGAGACATCATTTTCTTTTTTGAATTTTTTCAAGACAAGGTTTCTCTGGCTATCCTCAAAAATCACAGAGATCCGTCTGCCTCTGCCTCCCGAGTGCTGGAATTAAAGGCATGCAACATTACCACCTGGCTTGCCTATCATTTTCACATAATTCCAGCAACTCACACTCTCATAGCAAGCAGGTTTATGATGCAGTTCCAAATTCAGATGTTCTGTTTCTCTAAATTTTATTCCTATGTCAAAACCTTTTTTTTTTATTAAGTAGTACTGGGATAAAACCAGTATCTGGAAAAAGAGTGAGCCCTCTCACTTCTTCCACAGCATTTTCCACAACGTTCTTAGCTAGTCTTCTACATAATTAATTCTGTGAGATCATCTTACCTGGCTCTTTACTCAGTTTAAAAAGAAATCTTTAACAAATGACATAAAGCTAAGAATTTCTATGCAATACTATTTGGGCATAAGGTGGGAAAAGCAAGGCAGAGCCATATTACTGATGGTAACACAAACCAACACCCAGTCAAGTCCACTTTACTGGTGAGAAAGTAACCAGTGGCACACACCTTCAGAGGCAGGTGGACCTGGATCTCTGAGTTCAAGGCCAGACTGGTCTACAAAGTGAATTCCAGGACAGCTAGGGCTATACAAAAGAACCTTGTCTCAAAAACAAACAACAACAACAACAAAAAAGAAAGAAAGAAAGAAAGAAGGAAGGAAGGAAGGAAGGAAGGAAGGAAGGAAGGAAGGAAGGAAGGGAACCAATGGCCAGCTTCTGGGCTGACATTTAACCATTCCTGGCTTCATTCAAGAAATCTTTATTTTCAACATTTATTTATTGGGCCCCGGGAGAAGCACACACCACAGTAACTCATATGTTGGTAAGAGGACAACTTGCAGGAGTCAGCTCTTCCTTCTAACATGTGATCACTGGTCTCGATGGCAAGACTTGCTAGTCCATCAGACAATCTTTACAACCCCACTGACATTGGGTTCCTAAGAAACTACAAATGTTTAAAAGTTCCTGGCAAACAGTGACATGAAAGCATGGCAGTACTTATTTGAGAAGAGTCTATACTGACATGAAGATAATCTACATTTTTTCAGAAACCTGGGGGTGAAGATTGGAGACGGGGAAAGGCCAGGCGCATGGGAAATGAAATGGCTTTACTTCAGAAGACAACTGGGGTATGAAGTGATAAAGGTCAAAGCAGACTAAGCAAAACAGAGAGCTAACAAAATGAAAACAATAATAATCTAGCAATTCTAACCCAGCAACCTGGTAACTGCTACGAGCTGTACTACTAAAAAAGCAAATCAGGAGCTGAGGGCTCAGTGGTACAGCCCTGTGGAGCTTCCAGCGTGATCTCTAACACCAGTGGGGGAGCGGGGAGGGGGCAAATCATGAAGTATGTAGGTTCTGAGATGGTACAGTACAGGTATACTATGTTGTTCAAACGGAACCAGTCGACAAAGCAACTAGGAATACAGGTAAAAGCCATTCACAGGTAAAGAGTTCATTCACAAAAGATGACACTTGTGACTGATTATGTTGAGTAAGAAAGGAATACTATTCTCAACTTCTCAGCCAGGCCTCCTGCTCCTAGAAGTGATTCCGGCTACCTCCCTGGATCGAATGGCTTAAAACTGATGAAGCCACATGATTCTGTGAGTATTACAGCAGCCTAACTATCTCTTTTAGCCAATGCAAACCTTTTAAAGGTCTAAGAAATACTGAATTGGAAGACCAGCCAGGAACAGTGTGGTTGGTTATGATGAAGAAACCAGAGAACATTTCTTATCAACAGACGGTCTCTAGGCCATGCTAGATACTAGACTGAACTATCTGATGAACCATGTCCAGCCTCAGCATACAGAAACACCTACTGCAAACAGCCAAAAAACCTGTGCTCTTTTGTATGGCTCTTGTATCTGTGCGTAAACAACACGTTGTGTTTGAATTAAGAAATATTTAATAGTGGATGGAGCAATGGCTTAGCAGTTAAGAACACTGGCTGCTCTTCCAGAGGACTAGAGTTTGATTCCCACCACCCACATGGTGGCTCCCAACTGTTATAACTCCCACCTGACATCCTCTGCTGGTCTCCATGGTCACAGGAGTACATAAACATACATATAGGTCCAAACACTTAAAATAAAAACTTTAAAAAGGGGCCTAGAGAGATGGCTCAGTGGTTAAGAACACTGGAGGCTTTTCCAGAGGACCCAGGTTCAATTTCCAGCACCCACATGGTGACTCATAACCACCTGTAACTAATTCCAGCAGATGCAATGCATTTCTTTTAAAGATGAGCTGGCAAGATGGTTCAGTGGGTAAAAACACTTGTACATGCCTGACAATCGAACTTGATCCCTGGATCCCACAGTGGAAGAAAAACACACTCCCAAAAATTTACTCTCGCCTCCACACTGAAGTTGGGACATGGACACACGGAGACACATATATGTATGTATGTATGCATGTATATATGTATATAATAATAGCAATAATGAATAAAACTTAAAATAATAAATTATGTTTTTAAATTTTAAGCTAGTGGTGTGCTATGACGTGAAACTGAAGAATATGTTCAACGTTCCAGGAACACTGGAAAACATTCTTGAAACTGTCAACCAAACAGAAGACAGTAAAAAATGTGTGGCTTTTATTTTCTTGTCTAAAGTGAGCTGTAACTAGCTACAACAACAGGTTCCATCCTGACAACTCTACATTATGTTCTTAGTGCACACAGCCACATTGGGCCTCAGTCACAGGCCAGCCAGTCACCTCTGTCCAACATACCGCTTTGACTTACCCTTGTGCAGTGTGGTTACTTTTTATGTGGTAAGTAAGAGCATTTATGGAATTTCCATAGGCTAAAATTTTACTTGTCTAGATTACTGCTAGTTCAAGTTGAAGAGAACTAAGAGACACACATCTGGCAGGGTGGGTGCACTGAGTTACACACAAATACTACTGTCCAGATGAAAAGGGCTTGCTTTTAAAAAGAATTCCATGGCCAAGTATATGGAACATTCCTGTAATCCCAGAACGTAGGAGGGGAATCCAGAGGATAAGGAGTTCAAGGACAGTCTCAGCCACATAAAACTCTGCCTCAAAAATAAGCAGTGGAGTGAAAGTATTCCATAGCATAAATTGAAATACTGTTTAAAATTGTTACCGGCTTCTTTGGCAAGGGAACAGTATAAGGTGTAGAGCCAAGAACCATCTCGAAGAGCTTGTCTGAGTAAGGTATGGTTTTCTCTACACTTTCCCGGAAATGGGAGTCCCATTTGGCATACAGGATAGTGCCACCAATCCCTCCACCAACGAACAAAAGGCCAGCTCCAGCAATTTTACCAGCAGTCAACCTAAAAGAGAGAAACAGGACAGAGATCATACTTTGTTTTCCTTTTATCTACTTTCCTACCGAGTCTTACAGACCATTTCATTTCCATTTCTCTACCACTAACTGGACCACAGCAGCCAAGTGGAACGCCACAGCTGCAAACCACCTTTTCTTGATCATTTTTAACATGTCTGCAATATAAGATAACAATATTTATACATGGATAAGAAAACGTTCAAAGACAGTAACTAGGACAGAAAGAACGAAACAGCCTCTTATTTAACTCTTAAGACCTGATGTGCACAACTATGAGATTTCCTCTCAGGTTCCTCAAACCACTAACTTCCAAAGCTCCTCTTCTTCTCTATGCTTCTCTGTAAGTACAATAAAATAAATCCTCACAAAAAAGAAAGTTAGCCGGGAGGTGGTGGCACAAGCCTTTAATCCCAGCCCTTGGGAGGCAGAGGCAGGAGGATCTCTGTGAGTTTGAGGACAGCCTAGTTTACAGAGTTCCAGGACAGACAGCACTGTTTCTGAGAAAAACTCTGTCTCAAAAAATCAAAACAAAAACAAAAGAAGGAGGGAGGGAGGGAGGGAGGGAGGGAGGGAGGGAGGGAGGGAAAGAAAGAAAGAAAGAAAGAAAGAAAAAAAGAAAGGAAGGAAGGAAGGAAGGAAGGAAGAAAGAAAGGAAGAAAGGAAGAAAGAAAGAAACTAATTCTAGCATTCTAGAGGCTTGAGGCAGGAAGACTACTCTGGGACTGAAGCCAGCCTAGGCTACAAAGCAGGACTTCTTATTAAATTCAATTTAAATTTGAAAATTACTGAGCTAGAACAGTAGATCAGGGCTCTCTCAGCATGTCTCAAATTGGGAAAGGAAGACAATAAAATGCTACCAGAACTAACAAGTACTTTTTAAACTTACAACTGTGTAGTCAGGACCCAAATGCATTCCCATAAACCAGAAGCAAGTACTTGAAGAGGGGACTCTGCTCTGTGTCACCCAGTTACCAAAGAACCGAAAAGATCATCATCAGCAAAGCCTCACCCAAAGTCATGTAACAGAAGGGATCCTCAGACCATAGGGCAAAGCTTCAGTGTAACACAGTACTTCCCTCTTACCTGGGGGCATTTGTTCCAAGAACCCCAGAAGATGCCTGAATCCACAGACAGAATCAAATGCTTTTTCTATACATATGTAACTATGATAAAGCTTAACTTATAAACTAAACACAGTAAGAGAGCTATAACAATAATGAAATAGAACAATTTTTACAATATATTACAATAAAATGGTTATGTGAATGTGGTCTTGCTCAAAATATATTACTGATGCCCCCAAAATCAGGAAGGAGGCAGAGGTAGACAGGCCTCTCATGAGTTTAGGCCAGGCTGGTCTACATAGTGAGTTCCAGGACAGCTGGGGCTATATAGAGAGACCTTATCTTAAAAAAAAAAAATTTAAAATTTAAAAAAAGAAA